GAAGTTCAGGCCTCAATGGACTCCTCTATGTGTCCCCTCAACTGCGGGTACCCATTCCCTCATCAAGCGGTGTTCCAGACAGACTGCCAGCTGGGGACAGCCAGGGGCTTGCTGGACAGTGACACTCTGGCTAAGGTGTCCTGCCTTTCCTTTGAGTTTGCCATAGACTCACATGCTGGGGGTGAGGGGCATGATGGTGCAGAGACCCTGAGCACCCACTGCCCGATGTTCACTAGCGGAACCACAGGGCCATAGCAGGAGACGACACCCAGTATCCACACGCTGCCCATCCTACCTGCACCCACATGAACGTGTGCTCATGTGTGAGGTTCTGGCAATTTTCGTCTTTGTGGCATAAAGCATATGTCACATGAATCTGCCATCGACCCTCCTGTAAGTGTACACCTCAGCAGCCTCAAGCGCATTCACGCAGCTCTGCAGTTGCCATCACTGTCTGCCTTGGGACTGCTCCTCTTCCCTCTGGAGCCATTGCCCATGAGACTCCAGGGTCCTTTGTGGGGTGCTGAGGGCGAAGCAGGGCCTCAGGCAGGCACCCTACCTCTGCGCGCCTCCCAACCCCACTCACAGCACTGTGTGGATTTAGGACCCCCACCTCTGTTGATCCTCCTACTGCCCTTGCCTGGCAGCGGCACCTCTCTGTCCCCCATCTCCCAACCCTGCAACCCCTGCCTCTGTGCAATCTGCTGCAACACAGACAGTCACAGCGGTCCACCCTGGGGACATGGCCTCTGCACCTGCCTGGCTTCCAGGCAGCCCGTCAGGGCAGGCGGCTTCCCACTCCATGTCCTTTAACTGTGTCCCCTACTGGTGAACACCTTCACATACCCTAATACGAGTACTCAGTACGCCTGTCCTTCACATCTGGCCCTGGTGCCAGTGTTGTCTCAGGTGTTGGGGACACTGCACACAAAACCATGTCACCTTCTCAGGCAATGTGTGAGGGTGGCAGCAGGTGCTGAGGGCCTAGATGGTGGGCTGTCTTTGCTTCCTGAATGGGGGGCATTTGGTCACAGGGGTCAGTAGGAGGCTGTAGTCTAGGTTGTGCCCTCAGCGTGGCCAGGGAATGGCTGGCAGGGCAGCAGGAGCCCTGTCCTGTGAGTGGGCAGAGGAATTTGTCACGCTCAGGGTCCTGCACCTGCCAAATGGAAAAGGCATGGGGCGGGGGGAGGGAACATTAGAAGGTTGCAGTGATAATCCCAAGGGAGGAGCTGAGGCTGATGCACTGACGTGGATGAAGACAGGGAGAAGGGAGGGACTCACAGATGCCCCAGCCCATGGCACGACACCCCTCCTAAGGCACATGTGGCATCAGAGAAGGGGTGTCACATGGGGCTGATAGGCCAGCACTCATGTCCATCCAGAGTTTCAGGATACACCTTGGTCAGAAAGAGAAGCTCTGTCAATGTAGTCAGAGGAGGGCATCCTGAATTTAGAGAGCACCTTACGTCCAATAACAGGTTCCTAAGAGGACAAAGGAACACAGGGAGATGCCACATGAAGATGGCAGCAGAGGTCTGAGGACAGCAGTAGCCACTGGGAGCTGAAAGAGGGCACAAGGACGCTCCCTAGGGATTCTGATACTTGGATCCTAGGCTTCTGGTCTCCAGAACTGGGAGGGAATACCTCTGTTGTCCCACATCTGGACTTGTCCTGGCTCCCTGGGGAGTATCAGGTAGCTCTGCCTCAGCTGGGCCTCTGGTTGCCAGGCTAGCCAGGTGGGACCACACTATGGACCCAGGGCAGAGTAGGAGTGGCAGGGCCCTTGGAGTTCTGGCTGGGGCTGCCCCATTGGTCAGGGCAGGTTGGGACACCTAGGCTGCAGCTGTGAGGCGGGCTCCACTTGCACTCTCTCTGCCACCAAGGCCACCAACTGCCTATCGCTTCCATCTTCTGGGGAAAAGGGAAACCTGCCCTGCTGGAAAGTAGGCCAGCCCCCTTGGCCTTCCCAGGCTGTTTATGTCCCTGGAAACATTGTGCCCTGCTGGCTTCTATTTCCCACCATCGATATGAAGGCAATGTGGCAGGTGGGAACCTCTGTGCACAAAGGAAGTTTGGGCTAGACACACCCACAAATCTTGAAGCAGACCTGGGGCAGTAGATGAGCGGACAGGCTGAGAGCACACCCCCAAAGCCCTCCTGGAGCTGGAGGCTTGGTCTCTGGACCAAGTGGATAGAAGCTCTAGAGCAAAGGTGCCAGGGTAAGGGTGGAGTACAGGACTCAAAGCTGGGGAATTTAGGGACATTTTGCATCCTGAAGCTTGGGTCCCCATTTTCAGGCCTGCTTCCAGAAAAATCATGGAGTAGCCAGATTGCAGCTCATGGCAGATACCCATGCACAACCACTGGGGGTGACTATCCACAGGAGGCAGGCTCCCAAGCAAGACAGACTGAGGACTGCCTCAGGGCAGGCCAGACCCATCTTGGAGGGCCTCTGGCCACTGTTTGTAGGTGGCTGACCCACATCCAAGAGAAAATCTCCAGCAACAAAAAGCTGGCTTACTGAAGTGTCTGAGAAATGTCACCAGTCAGTGAGGACAGATAATGGGAGACAGAAAACAACACAGAGCAGATATATACAGCCTGCCCTGGTACAGGGCTCCTTAGTTACAGTAAGCACTGGAGACTGGTGTGAGGTCACTGAATAAGGGAGCTGGGATGGAGTGGGAGGGGGCAAGGAATTGGGATGGCAGGGCAGGGAGTTGTGATGGAGGAGGGGGCAGAAAGTTGGGATGAACAACGGGGAAAGGGCAAGGCTGCCTGAGTCTTCTAGCACCACCTTCCTGTTTGAATTAAGTAAATGTACCCTGTACTGGTGCCCACTCACTTGCTCATTCCACAGATACTTGCCCACAGCCTTTTTGGGGTCAGCTCCTTTAAGGCTGCTAGGGCAGAATGAGAACCAAAGGTCCTGTGTGGGAGGACTGGTGCTCCCTTCTGCCTTGGAAGGCAGAACCTGCCTCACGACAGGTGCAGGGGAATGCACCTGCCACTAAAGGCTGGGGCAGATGGCCACCTGAGGCTGGCCTTCAGCTGCAGGAAGAGGGGAGAAGGCAAGGTCAGAGGTGGGTCACGGGGACACTGAACTAGTATCTGGAACCAGGGAAAAGGGGTGATGTCTGATAGGGACAGGGTTTCTTTGGGGACTGGAAACCTCTGGATGCAGTGACAGGCACACAACCCTGAGTGTCTACTAACCACCACAAGGCAGGCTTTAAGAGGGTGAGTTGAGGGGCTGGGGCTCAGTGGCACAGTGCTTGCCTAGTATGTGTGAGGCATTGGGTTCCATCCTCAGCACCACAAAAATAAATAATGAAGGTTTAAAAAAAAATTAGGGGCTGGGGTTGTGGCTCAGTGATAGAATGCTTGCCTAGTATGCATGAGGCACTGGGTTCAATCCTCAGCACCAAATAAAAATAAAGATATTGTGTCCACCGAAAACTAAAGAAAAAAAAATTTAAAACCCAGAATGGCAAAAAGAAAACTGTCTGTAAAAGCAAACAGGAACTTGGCAGGTAGACTGAGTCCAACTTTTCCTTCCTAAAGGAGAACAGTGTTAGGAAGCCACAGGGCTTCCTGTTGTCAGGAAAGCTCAGGCAACACCAGTGATGGTGTGGCAATGGTCTCAGCCAAGGACTGATAGTTGTGTCCTCAACTCTTGAGGAGCCAGTCCAGACCAAGGCCTCTGAACCACAGGGAGGCTGGGCGGGGGCTGTGACAGGGTCAGGGAAGGGAGGCCCCGCACAAAGATGAAAGCTATGGATAATTAACGCTCTCAGGCCAGGCTTGACTACAAAACCCTTTGTGGTGGCCTGAAAGAGAAAGCAAACAGATGCAAGACCCATCCCTGGTTTCTAGAGCATGAGGACCTTTGAAATTACAAGACATTAAAATAAAGCTTTGGGTAAAGGACCTCATGTTCTAGTTGCAGATTTGATGTTAGATCAAAACGGAATTGCTCCTGAAAGCCTAGGCACAGGCCTATTATTCAAGGCAGCCCAACCCCAATGCACAGAAAGGACCTCTGCACAGAGCATTCCTGGCTGGCCTAAGATCCCATGGCAAACCTCACCCTGTGACAGGTATCTCCCCAAATGCTGAGGGCCCCTTCTCTGTCTTCTGTTGTCCCCGCCATTTCTGATGGTCATCAGGGACATGTCAGAGAGACACTGGGGTCTTAGGGGCAGCATTCTGAAGGGTAGGCCACCCTCATCCTGCCCCACTTGTACTCAGTGAGGTGCTGGGGCAACCTCGAGCCCCCCATGGGAAAGAGACTGCTTTCCTAGAGCACAGCACCTGGAAGAGAGAGCGTAGCTCTTGTCGGCATTAGGAAGAAGGCCAACAATGTCCCTACAGGACCTGCTGAGTCTTGGTGACTGCCTGGCCCAAAGCAAGGGTTCTCTTCAAACCCCAGCAAGCAGAGCACTGCTTTGGCCGCCTGCTGAGAGTGATGCTGGCCATTCAGGCTCCTGTTGCCTGCAGTTAGCAACCCGCTGTGCACACTGAGCAGAGCCAGAGGCGGGGCGTGCCTGTGCCGGATATTGGGTGCACTCAGTCGCGAAGCCAGGTCCGTCTTGGTGTTTGGGAATAGCAGGCAACACCACTGAGGAGCTGTGCCCAGGCCCTGCTGCACCACAAGGTTGTGGGTCACAGGCAGTAGACACCAAAGGCTACCTCTGCCACATGTGCTAACATGCTCGAGCCCCAGGCTCTGGCTGCGCTCTTCTGCTGAGCTCCCCCAGCAGCCCGTGCGTGCACAGCAGCAGCAGCAGCAGCGTTTGCTAACATCAGCCAGTGGCATGGTCCTCCTCCTAATTAGGGGTGTTAATTAGCACAAATGAGTCAAGTTAGCAAATTAGTCTGTAAGGCACTTGGGAGCAGGTGATGTCAGGTGGCAGAGAATGCTCCACCACCTGAGGGAGCACTACGCCAGAGAGTGGGGGAGCCCTAAGTTGGCAGGGAAAACAGAAGCACCAACACTCTCCAATATTTACAAGCACTTTCTCTTATGTGTTCAAAACCACCCACATTTTATAATCAGGTTTGCTTGTGTGGTGGCCTGGAGGCCCCTGTGTCCACTGCCTGTGCAGTACCCTGCCCTGGGACACGGGTGCCACTGTGCACTGCTACCACCTGAGAGGCTGGCTGCCTCGCTTCAGCTCGGCCTCCACGTAGGCCCTGTGTAGCACCTGCAGGTGCAGCAGCAGCTGTTCCAGGTTCTCCCCAGTCACTGCCGACAGGGCGATGACCTGTCCCAGGTGGTCCTGGAGCTGGGGCAGATGGGCTCTGGCCTGGGGGAGATCAATCTTGTTTGCAACAACCACATGGGGCCTCTCAGACAGGCCTTCTTTGTACTTTTCCAGTTCGTACTTTAAATCATCCACCTGAGTCCATGGCTCTGGTAGGGAAAGGTCCACTATGAACAAGAGGAAGCGGCAGCGCTCAATGTGCCTGAGGAAGCTGAGTCCCAGACCCTTGTCCTGGTGGGCGCCTCGGATGATGCCAGGGATGTCTGCCACTGTAGGAAATAAGAACATAGGGTCATGGTGGGCCCCACAGGCTGGACTTTCAACCTGGTGGCTGGGGAGCCAGGCCCTAGGGTTGCCTCAGCCTTCAGATCTGCAGAATGCAAGATGAGGCTGATCTGATGAGGAGTGCTTAACTCGTTCCTGTCCTTTCTGGCTTCAAACATGATCCAAAAAGGAAAAAACGGCTTCCTGCACTCTATTAATAATTTGATTACTGAGGGAAACCATTATGGAGCACTTTGCAAACATAAAGTGCTATACAAACCACCTTTCCAGCAGGCTATTTTTAATGGGTACATTATCTTCTGGAAAAAGTTTTCTTCTCTCAAAATGGTACAGGGAAAGCTTTTTAAAGCACACGTCTACATCAGGGCAGAGTTCACAATGGAAGAATGAAGCCGTGGCAGAACTCCTCAGGTTGCAAACTTGTACTCCCAGATCTGACCTGAAGCTTGGATTGCAGGGGGTGGTGCTGATTTCAGGACACAACAGACTCACTAAAATTGTCTCAGTTAGGAAAAACAGTAAGCTAAGCTTGGGAGTTGGTTATTTTCCTGAATTGCTCAGATCACCTTAACTCCCCTGGGGGCAGATTCTGGATGCTCTACCTGCCACCTGTTGGTGACCTTCACAGTGAACAATCCCCACGTGGGGCTTCAAGGTGGTGAAGGGGTAGGGAGCCACAGCAGGTTTTGCATTTGAAATGGCCCGGAGCAGCGAGGACTTCCCAGCATTGGGAAAGCCGACCTGGAAGACAGGGAAGACAGCCCGTGACTCTGGGAAGGCCCTTCATGCTGCAGTTGGCAGCTGGCTGAGATGGGACCAATGAGCTGAGAAGCTGTTACTGTCCCCTAAGCCAGTAGCTCATCTTGCCACCAGGGACCCACCATCCCAGCATGGGCCACCGTCTTGAGCTCCAGGTGGAGAACGCGTTCCTGACCCGGCTCTCCCGGGGTGCAAGTCACAGGGGCTCGGTTGTCATTGGCCAGGAAGAAGCGGTTGCCTTTCCCGCCTGCCCCGCCCAGTGCAGCGATGTACTCCTGGCCCCGCTGGGACAAGTCGGCCACGACCTCACTGCCCTCCTTCACCAAGGTGCCCACGGGAACCTGAAAGCAGCATGGTATTCATGAGTTACAGTGCACAATCAGGGCTGCAGGGTAACCTCTCCTCTCACAGCCACCAAGCACAATCCTGGCCACCAAGAGTTCCATGGGGCTGTTCACAGTCAATCAGACTGCTCAGTGGCTTTAGCAGTGTTTTTAAGTGTTTCTAAAATGAGAGGACTGCCTTGGCCAGAGACGGGCACAGGTGTGCTCTGTAGGTTGCCCCCTTTGAGGCCTCTTCACCTGCACAGGGCCCACACTAGTGCACAAAGACCTGTGCGGTGTGTACTCCCCCTGCCTTGTCACCAGTGCCTTGAGCAGTTGATGCCAATGACAGGAGAGGTGGATACAGCAGTTGGGCTTACCCGGACGAAGAGCATGGCGCCACTCCGGCCAAAGCAGTTCTTCCTGCCACCATCTTCTCCACTGAAACCCTGATACTGGGATAGGACCGACGACAGCGACTTGACTTGCTGGTCAGCTAGAGGCAGAGCAAGAACGAAGACGTCCCTTTGGGTTGAGACAGAACAAGTGCCTGCAGCTAACGTTCTGTCTTGCCCAGGAGCCTTAAGATGCACACGAGATAGGAATAGAGCTGGGGCAGGCATTACTCACAAGCAACACAATTAAAAATTAAGCTCTTACTTTCCTTCAAAGAAACTTCCATTCCTGAAAATTTTGAAGTTACTCATGATGCCATCAGTGTAAAGAAAGCTCTATTTACCATGCTGTGGATGCTCTGCTCCTAGCTTCCTCAGCACTTGGGCTTATGTGTGCTGACTAAGACTGAGGCTCTGACATCTACTACCATGCTAAGATTCCTAAACGCAAACTACGTTTGTGTCCCGGACAACAAAAGAAAGCACTCGAGGCTGATTTCTTTCTTTAGCGCACTGTTCTTTTGTTCGGCAATATTGGACACTGAGCCCAGGGCTTGCACATGCTAGGCAGCACCCTACCAATAAGCCACACCTCATCTCTCTCTCTCTTTTTTTTTTTTTTTGGTGGTGCTGGGAATTGAACCCACGGCCTTGTGCATGTGAGGCAAGCACTCTACCAACTAAGCCCTGTCCCCAGCCCCCTGCTCTCTCTTATTTTTGAGACACCATCTCTAAGTTGCAGAGCCTGGACTTAAACTTGCAAGTCTCCTGCCTCAGCCTCTCAAGTGGCTGGAATTAGGGGCTGCACTACCGTGCCTGGCTTTCAGTGCACCATTTATGAACACCCACATGCTTTATAAAAATGTCTACATATCAAGTATTTAATGTAAGACACGTTAGGATAAGAAGGTAGATGTGAGGACCCGGCTCTTCCCCAGATACTCTCAGGGCACGTGCCTCTCAGGATGACATGGCCACCGTTGCCACCATCTCCACCATCAGGGCCCCCGAACTCCTTGCGGGGCTCGCTGTGGAAGCAGCTCATGCCAGAGCCTCCATTTCCTCCTCGAACAAGCACTCTCCGATGGTCCACAAAATACCTCTTCTACAGAAAGCACAAGACACCTACAGCGTTAGCTACACCCCATGGTCCTTCCAAGAGACCAAGTATCCACGAAAAAAAATGCCTTTTTATAAAATTAGAAGTTTATGGTGATAGTATTACTAATCTCTCCTAAAATCCAAAGATAAAAATCAGTTCTCACAAGTCATTACAATTTTTTTAGGCTTCAGTTCCTTCAAAAAGGAACTCGGCATTTCCAATCTAAAGAGAACCCAGCTGTCTCCAATGGGACACATTACCAACATTCTAGTTCTAGTTTTGTAGGCTGCAGCAAGGTTAAGGTGGAGTCTCTCCTGGACTTTCAGCTGTGAAGAGAGAAGACTCTCTGTCCCTAACTGCTAGGGTTTCTCTGTGACATGCAGAGAGGTGATACACAGAGCCCTTCTTCAGAGCAGCTCTCTCTACAGGTCCTGAAGGCAGGCACAACCAGCTAAAGAAGCAGAACAACTAACTAGTTTAGTTATCACACATTAGCTCGTCTTACAAGTCCAGCTACCCCAGGCCTCAGGCACAGTGCCCATGCCCAAAATGTATCCATGGGGACGCCTGCTTTCTGCAGGTCTGCAAGGACAGATATACCCTTGGTCCCTGACAGTCCTCTGCCTTCCTCAGGACTCAGGTCATGTGTATTTCCCACCCAGTGGGTTATATAAAGAACTTATGATTCCCTGGTACCACCACTTGGAACCATGAATTACTATTTCAAAAACTCATTGTGCCATTTTGCTATGTGCCAACAAAATCAGGACCCACCTGATTGGGGAAAAACAGAAGTGGTAAGATGCAGACTTGGGCCTAAGCCAGGAAGGGGCGTCCCCTCGGCCACCAGATGCCAGATCCTTGATCTGCCTGCTGCCTGCCCAAGTTCCCCACTCTCTTCCCTTCTTTTGTAAACAAGTGGCTAGGCAGGTATTGCTTTGCTCCTGAGCTAACCAGATGTTCCTCCTCTGGAGGCCCTGCTCTTAGAATGCACCTGGAGAACTGCAGGAGACTGAGTGAGATGCAAACATGTGTTTTTCTTCTTCTTTTTTTGATACTAGGGAATGAACCCAGGGGCACTTAACCACTGAGCCACATCCCTAGACCTTTTTATACTTTATTTAGAGACAGAGTCTCAATGAGCTGCTCAGGGACTTGCTAAGTTGCTGAGGTTGGGTTTGAACTCATGATCTCACTGCCTCAGCCTCCCAAGCCACTGGGATTATGGACATGTGCCACCATGCTCAGCTGTATTTTCTTAAATTTAGTTAAAAGACCATTCTTGTTTTAAATAGGTTTTGGTAAACAAAAGAAGAATAATTGTAAGACTTAAACTATAAAACCAAAGGGCCACTTCTCCTTGGACATTTTAGGTTAAGATCCCTTCATTCTTACATGCTGGCTATTCAGGCCAGTAACACATGAGCAGCCCTGCACTGCCACACCTTCCAAGGTACCTGGCCCTCCTTGGGCTGCTCTCTGTGACAGCACAGTCCTTGGCACAAGGCCACATTCAAAAGGCTCTTCAGTCCCTTCAGTAACAAAATCAGCATATGAGACACCCTGCTACCTTCCAAAGGGGAGCCCATGGCAGGGTGCTCCCAGCTGAGAAATCTCACCAGTTTTTTCTCAGAGAGTGGCTTCTTTCCAGGGGTCTCCTGATGCTTGGTGTGGTCCACGCAGCCCACTGACAGCATCCTGGGTGAAGCCTGCTGTGGAAGGAGCCGGCAGGGCCTGAGGCTGGCCTGTGCAGACGGGGTCCACTGTGCCAGGCCCTCCAACAGGGTCTGAGAGCTTGCTGAGAACAGCCTCACAGGGATCATGGCCCCTAAAATGAGCCAAATGGGCAAAATAAGATGTTTGGTTGAACCCTGAAAGTCAAGCTGAAGCTAAAGCAAAGTGCCTGGTGCATGGGAGAAAGAACCTGGGTGCCTGAGAGAGACAGGACCAACCAATAATCCATGTTTCAATGCTAAGCACCTGGCATCCTGTGGTGCCCACCAGCCCATTTGTGATGTAAGCAGAATATGCACACAAAGATCAAAATCCTTAGGTCTCCCACAGGACTGGGAATACTTCTCTGGGGAATATCGAGTAGCTGCTTAATGCAAATGTTAAAAGGCAAGCAAAACCTCAAGTCAAAATTGTTTCAAAATAAAAATATCCATTTGTCCAAGTATAACTGAGTGTGTTAATCTCCTGCAGCTTCAAATAATTAAACTGGAACGTGAGAACACTGGATATTTTAGGTTAAGATCCCTTCATTCTTTTTTTTTTTTTTTTATATATAATAGTTGGGCACAATACGTTTATTTACTTATTTTTACGTGGTGCTGAGGATTGAACCCAGGGCCTCACAGGTGAGAGGCGGGCGCTCTAACACTGAGCCCCAGCCCCAATCTGAGCGCTCTACCACTGATCCCCAGCTTGAAATCCCTTCATTCTTACATGCCAGCTATTCAGGCCAGTAACACACGAGCAGCCCTGCACTGCCACACCTTCCAAGGTACCCTGGCTCTCCTTGGGTTGCTCCCTGTGACAGCATAGTTCTTGGCACAAGACCCCATTCAAGAGGCTCTACAGTCCCTTCAGTAACAAAATCAGCATATATGACACCCTGATGCCTTCTAACAAACTCCCAGCCTTGCCACTCACCTTGGCACAACCCAGGGAAGGTTACACACCTGCTGCCTCAGTCTCCTCACCTGAAAATGGACAGGGATGGTGAGGACAGGCTGAGCTGACCCACCGGGACAGAGCAGCACTGGCTGTCCCACTGTGATGTGATGAGCAACATCTACTTGGTCTCTGCCCTGGGCCTGACCCCACATTCCAGACCCTAGCGATTCTCTCCCTGAGTGATGGGAAAAACAAGAGTAAAGAGTGGCATCTGACCAGAGCACCGCACCCCTTGGGACTTGTGGAGTGCAGAGGGGGATGCTTGCTTTATGAGATATTCTCAGTGACCCCTGGATAGCTTCAGGACAAGAGCTGGTCACCAGAAAGAGCAGGCCTGGAGTAAACCTTGGGACTTTCACCTCACCCTGTCCTCCAGCAAAGAGAAGGGCTGGGACTGAGCCAACAAGTGATCACACCTCGTGAGGAACCTCCACCAACACCCCAAGCCATGGGGTCTGGAGAGTTTTTGGGCCAAACTCTTCATATGCTGGAGGGTCCCCACCCAATTCCACAGGAGCAGAAACTCCCATACTGGGGGCCTTTCTGTGGCTGTTCACTGCATCCTCTGCGGTCTCCTTACAAATAATGGATCCTTTACAACAAACAAGTAAATGCTACAAGTTTTCCCGAGTCCTGTGAACCTGCGGAGAGGATGGAGGAACCCTCCTTGTTGTAGAAAAGTCCGACAGAAGTGTGGGTACCTGGAGACCCATTACTTGCAACTGCTATCAAGACGGGAGTGGTTCTGTGTAACTGAGTATATGGCTTATGAGATCCCCTTTCCCTGGCACAGTGTCAGAATACACTTGAATCGTGGGGCTCATAGCTGGCATTCCAAAGAGCTAGAGAAGGGCTTGGTATGAAGATCTGCACACGGGGCGAGGGTTCTGGGGTGGTGTGGACAGCAGCAGCAGCAGCACTGGTCCAGCGCACGCTCTTTGTGAGCTATTTCTCAGTGCTGCCAGTGCACTGCATCCAGCTTCCCTGCCATCCACCACTCCCAGGCAGTCTGAGGTTACTCAAGAAGTTGAACTGGTTAGAAAAAAAACATTCCCCAAACAAAATCCCAGACTCAGGCTGTTTTCCTGATGAATTCCATCAAACATTCAAAGAATAACCAGTCTTAAACACACCTTTTCAGAAAGGAGAGGAACTAATGGTGACTATATAATTAATTTTATAGGCCAGTAAAGCCCCAGTACCAAACCTGACTTTACAAAAAGAAAGAAGAGAGTAATACTGCTTGTGCATAGGCACGAAGGACCCATGGCAAAACAGTTCTTGTCCCTTTCCATCCTGGCAGCATGGAAAGGGACAAGCACCAAGACTCAGGAGGAGCTGCCCCAGAACACACAGGCAGAACCCACGGGGCACCTCACCATGGTGGCAGACCCTACAACCACTGCAACAGCAAACCAGGAGAAGGGTGCACTGCCCCACTGACAGAAGGTCTCCCAGGGCTTCCAGCTACATTCAGTCATGATGGAGAAAAAGGCAAGACAGCCATGCTGAGCACCTCTATGCCACACAGTCCTTTCAGACATTGCAGTAAAAGAATGGAAGGAGGAGGAAGTAAAACTCCCTATTTACAGAAGAGACGAGGGATTCCACAGAAGGCCCAGGGAAATCTACAAACCAACAATCAGAATCAAGAAATGAGGCTGAAAGCAGGAGGATCGAGAGTTCAAAGCCAGTGTTAGCAGCAGCAAGGTGCTCAGCATCTTAATGAAACCGCCTCTAAATAAAATAAATAGGGCTGGGAATGTGGTTCAGTGGTCGAGTGCCCCTGAGTTCAATCCCGTTACCCTCCCCCTGGTTCCCCCCGCCAAAAAAAGGAGCTGGACAAGGTTGCAGGGTACAAGGTTACACTTAGAAATCAACTGTGTTCTTATACATTAGTAGCAAAATAACTGGGAGGGCTGGGATTGTAGCTCAATGGTATAAACCTTGCTTAGTATGTGAGGCCCTTGGTTTGATCCTCAGTACCACATAAAAAATAAATACATTGGAGGCAGAGAGGTGACTTAAAAGAGGGGACCAGGAAGGAGTGTAAAAACTGGTGGTTGGGAGAGAAACTTGCAGCTTACCCACACAAGTGCGCCTGCAGCAACTCAGCCAGAAACTCATGCCATCTGTCTTGGAGCCCGAGCCCTGAAGATCAGTGATGAAGAAGCAGGTTGACTGCGAAGCCCCCTCCAAATCCTGCTTGATTTGGCGTACCTTTTCTGCCCTTTTGACTGGAGTTGAGGGAACCCACTGATGATGCAGGCCTCATTTGCCAGGGGAACAGATTCTACACTCTGCAGTGCTGATTGGTGGTCCTGATTTCCTTTCTAATGAGGCTATTCTTATGCTATCCATTATCGTAACCCTTCCAACCACTTGGATCTATTAAGTTTCAATTAATTAAAAAAAATTGAATGAAATGTGAACTTGGTTCCTCAGCCCTACAGGCACTCAGCCACACGTGGCCAGGGCAGCACACTGGGCAGCAAGTGTGGGGAGCTGTGATCGTCACAACTCTTCTCAGGCTCCGTGAAACAGTACCCCTGCGCTGGGCCCAGCTGAGCACACAACAATAAAGACGGCGACGGTGAGAACCCAGGATGGGGTCTGACAGAGACAAGCCTGGCAGCCTCAGGACAGGGCTTTTACAGACTTAGGTGGACACTGTCACTGTGGTTCTAGGGTCAAGCTCGGCTTGTACTGGTCCACAGGTTACTGCCAAAACCTCCCGGAGAGGCTGAGGCTCAGCCCTTACAAGGCTGCCCTGTCAGCAGCCTCACCAGGACCCACCGCCTGGAAGGAAAGCGGGAGGGCTTCCCGACAGTCCGCTCCGGCCTGAAGGTCAGGGCGGCACTCACGGAGTCACCTCGGGCCTCTGCTGGTCCTGCCCCTGCTCCCCCCGTCCGGAGTCCAGGGCAGGGGCAGGGGCACTGCCACTCTCCGGCTCCCCCGGTGTGGCGCCTGCCTCCTGAGGCCCTGCAGGGCGGAGACTGCGGGCGGCCACTCGCCGAGGCACCGCTAGCTCTCCGGGGCCCCAGCTGCAGCGGGGGCGCTCAGAGCGCGGCGCGCACGCGGGCGTCGCCGGGAACTAGGGCGCGATGAGGGACCCCACGCTACCCACCACCTCTGGGCGCTCTCCCGCACGCTCCGGGGAGGCCTCCGGCGCCCCAGACCCGACCACCGGCCTGAGGAGCCCGGCCGCGCCGCCTCGACCCCCGGGAAAAGGCCCTGCAGCCCGCCGCGCTACTGCCGGCCCCAGGAGCCACCACTTCCGGGGCAACCACTGCTTCCGGGGCTGGATCCGGCGGCGCCTGCGCAGGTCCCCACAGCGTGTGGCCCCGCCCCCGGCCTCCTGTGCAGTTTGGGACTGGAGACTGAACGCCGGGGCACTGGACTCCTGAGACGCCTCCCCAGCCCTATTTTTGTACTTTTAGAGACAGGGTCTCACTGAGTTGCTTAGCGCCTCGCTGTTGCTGAGGCTGCCTTTGAACTCACGATCCTCCTGCCTCAGCCTCCCGGCCGCAGGGATCACAGGCTGGCCACCGCGCCGGCTCCCCGGGGCTTCTGAGAGCGGCTGTTAGGTCGCACTGGAAACGTAGTTTATACCCCGACCCCCCAAAAGGGAGCCCCTACACGGCCTCGGAAATGTCCTGCACCTGCTCGGTAACAGGAACGAGGCAGTGGCCCAAAACACCCGCGAGCGTCGAGCTGCGGAGACTCCGCCCGCGGGGGCACAGGAGGCCTGGCCGTACCCTCGGAGGCCACGGGGGCCCAGTTCCCCTGCGCCCGTGGAGGCACGAGGAGTCCAGTCCCCTCCGGGCCCGCGCCGTCCAGAGGGGCCTCCGGACACGCCGCTCCCAGGACGCCGAACCCGAGGGGAGGAGCTTCCGCCCCTCGTGGCGCCTCGGAGGCTGCCGAGCAGCCATCACCTGGGCTCAGCCCGCCGGGCGGGAGGAGCAGGGAGCTCTCGCGGCTTCCCGGGCACTGTTGGCCTTAGGCAGGGGACAAAAACCAGGGCACAGCCATCCGCACGGCACGACAGTTCATTTAGCCCAACTTTCAAACGTTCACGTTACAGAAGAGAAGACATAATACAGCCAATGAAATAACTGTTGGCAACACTGTTCCCCACAATATTACATAAAAGTGGACAAACATTAAATAAACATTCTGTTATTAATCAATAAATATATTAACACTGAAAATCATGTATAAATTAGGAAATAAATGTACAAACTATTTCACAAAGTGCTTTTTAAAATGTATACACAACATTCAAGAAATTCTTAATGTAAGACATTCCAGATTGAAGTTTTGGGGTAATAAGTTTTTAAAGTATCCTCCTCTTTCAAAAAACATTGACACAATCCTTAGAAAAACGGGGGTGGGGGGCTGTAGCTCAGTGGTGGAGCGCTTGCCTAGCATGTGTGAGGCCCTGGGTTGGATCCTCAGCACCGCATAAAAATAAAGAAATAAAGACATGCTGTCCACCTACAACTACAAAAAAAACCCAAACAAACAAAAACACCCACACCGCGCACACACACGGGGATGGAACTATCTTCACAGTTACCTGACGTGTCCCACATTTTCAAGCAGTCCCCAGCTGAGTTTGCAAATTACTTCTATAAAAATTTCCAGAAAGGAACAAAATCAAGAGATGACCCCTAAATGAAACTGCCAGTGCCTCTGTCATTTAGCAATTAAGAACTCTCATTTCTGTAATTTAATATGGGCATAATATTTTTAAGCCCTTATCAGTGTTAAGGATTTCTTTTTAAAAACCCTATGCCTATAACATAAATACTGAAATGCCCATGTTCTCATAGGAGAGTGGAAAATGTCCTAGAACAGGAATGACAGTCAACACAGAAAAAGTCCTTTCATCTGAGCCTTGGTTCTTCTCTATAAATGGCAACAGTACCTCCATAGTTCCCAGCCGGACTGCCAGGATTAACTGCAGCAAAAATAGTGAAAGTGAAAAATCAATAAATAAACAAATGTGTCCTGTGAATTCTGAAGTACTCAACTCTGGACCAAAGAATTACTTTTGCTGTAATCCCAGCTACTCAGGAAGCTGAGGCAGGAGGATGGCAAGTTTGAAGCCAGCCCGAGCAATTTAGTGAGATCCTGTCTCAAAAAAATAAATAAATAAATAAAATAAGGGTTGGGGAGTACTCAGTGGTACAGCGGCCCTGGGTTAAATCCCTAGTACTGGGGGGGGGGGGGGGGGGAGAAAAAAGAAAAAAAAAGAAGAAAAAAGAAAAAGAAAGAAAGAAAAAAGTAGATAAACTTTTAAAATATAAAATTGATTAAAGAAAACATTGTCTTTAGTAGGCCTAACATCTTAAGCACTGGAAAATCTTTGTATTTTCTGAGTCGTTTTTGGAAATACATCAGCATTTATACAAAGATTTCTTTTGTAAAAAAGGATTCATAGTAAATACAGTGGTCGTTATTACCCAGGTAAAGGCTGATCAAGGGTCCGCGCAGGCTTTTTCCTTTGGCCATGATTTTCCAAGTGTGCTGTCTTGATATTTGCACAGAAGATAAATGGGGTTGAATGTCCTAGTGATGTAAGAGTCACTCACTTTTCATCATATAAAACCTTTACTTTTCATTCAGAAGGACACAGGGAAGTTACTGGGGTTCTTTTCAAAAACAGGATGCAGATCTTAGATATCCCTAAAAGGAAAGAAACGCCTGCTTGGAGATCAGAACAGGTCGGTCCTGGAAGAAATGACACAAAATAAACAACTTGCCAACCGCTGGGAGATTTGGTATAAATACTTTAAATCCTTAGGACTGGGCATATTAAATATTCGAATCCTAGAAAAGACATAAGATGAACAAAGGCCAAAGCCAGGCCCTTTCCGACTGCCCTGCTGGCAGAGAACTGCCCCTGCCCTTGGGTGACACGACTCTCCCTGGGCAGGCTGACCACACGCTGCCCTCGGGCTCAATTATTTGGAATACAGTCGCTGTCCTCTTCACCTTTAACACAGGACAATATCCTTCTGGAGAACAGAGCTGGCGAGGGGCGAGGCAGCGGAGGGTCTGGCTCCTGCAGGTGAAGCTGTGCATCCTTGTCACACCAAACAGAAACTGGCTCACACACAGGGCCCAGCACTGCCGGGCTCCGGAGGCGACGGGGTCTGAGGGCAGCAGGCAGTGGCCAGAGCAGGAGCTGCTCCGGCCACAGCACACCCAACGGGAGGGAGCAGACCCAGCTTGCTCATGTGAACACGAGGACCGTGGCACCTTTCAGCTATGTCCCATCGCCAGGCACAGAACACTGAGGATGAGATGACCCCCAAAACTAGCTAGGAACACGGAAAAGAGGGTGGGGGGCAGAAATGGGACAACTGCTCCATCGCACTGACATACAACACCACACACGGCACCCCAGGTCCCAGCACAGTGCTGTCTTGCGCCAGAGGTGCAGGTGGCTTCGTACCCAACATAAGGTGGGCACGTTCACATGCAGGCACGGCGCTGGGCGAGGGGCCAGCAACATGGCACAGTTCATCAGAACCACCACAGCTGTCCAGCGCCCAGACACACTCCCACCAGGCTCCAACGAGAACACGGGTCCTTCATTGCTGGTAGTTTCCGTACTGGCCCTAGAAGAAATCAAGACTTAGAGGTTTTCTTTTTGTGTGTGTGTGTGGTGCTAGGGATTGAACTCAGGGCTCTGTGCATGCCAGGCAAGCGCTCTACCAACTGAGCTATGTCCCCAGTCCCAAGACATGGTTCTGAGTAGGAGGGTCGGCTCTCAAAAGCAAGGCCAGGCCCACCCCAGCCAACATTCAGGCAAACAGGAAAGCCCATCTGGCCTGGTCAGCTGAGAGAACAGCAGAGTTCAGGCCACCCAAAGAGCTGGGCAGCCTGAATGCCTCAGCACAATCCAAGTCTAGCCCAGGGCTTCTCAAGTAGAGCTGATCCTTTCCCCAGCGACACCTGGCAGCCTCTGGGTGCACTGGCATCCAGCAAGAGGCCTGCAGAGTGCATCATGGCCCCACAGATCCCTCCAGCCCACAGCCCGCGGCAGGACCCCACAGCCTGCAGCTGGCCGTGTATCTCCCAGATACACAAATCAGGATCCTGGGAGCTAGATGATACTTTCCCCAAAATGTCATTGCTCTCTTCTCCGAGGCAGGCATAAAACTACAAGTCTTCCAGTCGGTCTATCACAAGATGAGAACGTTCACTTGTTATTTCCTAGTAATTCCAGTTTTGCATCAGGGGCAGGTTGCTGCCTCCTGGATTCCACAGGCGGCTCCCAGTGCACACCCAGAGGCCAACCCCAGACCTGCCTGCATGCAGGGCCAGCACGCTGCACCCAGAGCACTCAGAGGGCACTCTGGACCACGGTCCCCCATCTCCAGTGGTCTGCTCCTTTAGGGACTCTGCCCTGATGATCACACGGCTGGCTTTACACCGTGCTCACAGTCAGACTTCAGATTGGTTCACCCTTTTAGAAGTAGGATGAGAAGCACTTAAGAAATCTGGGGCTGGGGCTGGGGCTCAGTGGTAGAGCGTTCACCTAGCACGTGCGAGGCCCTGAGTTCGATCCTCAGCACCACATAAAAATAAATAAAATAAAGGTATTGTGTCCAACTATGACTAAAAAGTAAATATTAAAAAAAAAAAAAAAAAAAAGAAAGAAAACACCCTCTTAGCCACTCAGTTATCCAAGGAAAACAACCATAACATGGTGCTTTGGAATTTCACTAGCTGTGTGAGGTCACTGATGCCTGCTACCTACACGTCACTGTGGAGAGTCACCTTTTGCTAAGGATTCTCTTCAAAGGAAGCTCCAAATAAATGTCTGAGACACATCTCCCTCTATTGTTCTACACTGCAGCTACCCGGTCTTTTCCCTGCTGTCTACAACACAACAATCTGCCATTCCCCAGGACTTTCGCATGTCCTCTCCCTGAGCCTGGCTCATCTCATCCATGAGGGTCCTTGCCCCTTGCCGCAGTCTGGCTGGGCACAAAATCACGAGCCACCACACACCTTGTAGATTCAAACAGCAACTCTTTATTCTCGAACTGTCACTGGCACTTACACACACGTTCTGGGCCAATCCACGTTCTGGGCCCCAAATACCCTCTGAATCCCGTGAGAACTCACCGGGAACTCAAGGAGCGGGCGAGCCCGAGGCAGCAGGATACGCCCTAAACCCCCACCCACCCTAAACCCAGATCCGCCCTGGTCCTTGAGCAAGGTCACCTTACATGCAACGACACTGCAAATGACCTGGGTCATGCCATGCGTCATTCTTACTTAGCAATGGCCCTCAGCAGCCCCTTCAGTGCTTCAGGCACACAGACCCTGTCCTTGCAGTTGCAAAGGGCGACTCCTTGTGAGGCCTGTGGAGCCCTACGCCCTGCAGCCTGTCTCCATCACCTCTTTACTTAGTTATTTGCTGGTTTGTTTACTTCTCTGTGGTGCTGAGGATCGAGCCCCAAGCCTCCAGCATGCCAGGCGAGCGCCCTACCCCGAGCCATGACCCTAGTCTCACCACCACCTCTTCCCAGGCTCTTGCTGTGCCCGGGTTCTGGCCACACAGGCCTTATTGCTGCAGAAGTCCTCATTCTTGCCCACCAAGAATGGTCTTCCTTGGCTCCTGACCAACTGTCCCCTGGCAGACAGGGTTCCTGTCCACCCACCTGCTCCCAGGACAGTAGTGGGTGCCACCAACTGTGTGCTGCCTCCTCAGTGAGCTGTCTTTGCCCACAGCACAGGGTCCTGTCACTGCCCGCCTCACCCACCTGGCAGAGGCCCCAACCTGCTAGGTGCACAGTGAAAACCTGCAGAACTGATGGAGCGAAGGAGAACCTAACGGTCAGTCTAGGGTGCAACAGGCCAGCTGTCTGTCGAGGTGAGACCTTTTTTCGGTACTGGGGACGGAATGCAGGAGGGCTTTAGCAGTGAGCTATATCCCCAGCCATTTTTATTTCATTTTAAAAATATTTTTAGTTGTAGATGGACACAATATCTTTATTTTTATTTATTTATTTTTATGTGGTGTTGAGGACTGAACCCAGGCCCTCACGCATGCGAGGCAAACGCTCTACTGCTGAGCCTCAACCCCAGCCCAGCCCTGTTTATTCTGAGACAGGGTCTTGCTACGTTGCCAGGCAGGTCTGAACCTGTGATCCTCCTGCTGCAGCCTCCAAAGTAGCTATGGGTGTGTGCCTCAGAGCCGAGGCAGAGGTGATCATGAAAGGAACCTGGAACCAATCAAGGCTACCTCGTTATGCTTCATGACTGTCATCTCCACAGCCCTGGGGGGAGGGGGGGGCCTCGAAGCACCCAGGTAACTTGCCTGCTCATAGCCATAAGGCCGCTGCTGCTGGGCAGAGGGTCCCGTCTGCGATGCTCGGTAGCCCCCGTACTGCTGGCCTTGTCCTTGCTGGTAGCTGGAGTACTGCGAGGGGGCACTCTGGGCAGGCCCTGGGGAGACACAGGCTCTGTGGGGACCAGCACTGGCTCACCCCTCTTTTGGAATCTCCAAAACACCAGGGACCTGTTCTTCCTCAACACGAATATGGGGAGAGAGGGCCATGGGACTACTGGCCAGACCCCGTCCTGCACCCTTGCCTGGGATGGGCCACAAGGCCTCTTCCCACACACTGTTCCAGACCAGCTGAGGTCACACACGATGGACACTGTCAACTCATACTTCAAAGATCACAGGAAACAGGGGAAGCTTGCAGCAGAGGAGAAATGGCCAGCAATTCTGTGAAAACTAAGTTGAAGACTTTGGAAACAATCGATAAAGGCTGGCCATGTTTTTACTGACCGAGGGCCTTGCGCGTGCCAGGCCAGCACTCCACCACTGCGCTGAGCCCAGCTCCCCAGGCTTGTCCTAGATGCTATTCAATTGGCCGTGTCATAAAGGCAAAGGGTCCTATCTGGCTCCCTCCTCCCCCAGAACCCTGTGGGCTTTGTGGGGGCCTTGCCCACGGGGCCCACCCTGAGAATGGGTCTGAGCGGCCCCAGCTCCTTTTCAAAAGGCACTCAGACGACTCCGGTGCAGCGAGGGCTGAGACCCACTGGGACCCACTGGCCAGAATAGCTTCCTCCAAGACTCAGGAGCTGGCTGCCTGCTACACCAGAGGAAGAAGATCCTGCCTGACCCCAGATTCAAGGATAAGTAAGTGGAGAGGCTCCTTCTTTGGGTGGGTGGGGGCCTGTGAGGACTAGTGTTTTTTTCTGTCCCGAGACGAGGGATTGAATCCAGGGCCACTTTACCACTGAGCTCCATCCCCAGCCTCCCTCCCCCTTTTTGTTTTTGAGACAGGGTCTCAGCAAGTTGCTGAGGAGGCCTGGAACTTGTGATCCTCCTGCCTAGCCTCCTGAGTCACTGGGATGACAGGCATGGCCACCGCAACCCCAGCAGAGGTCACTGCCTGCCAGCTCTGACCTGGGGACGGGCAGCCTTTCTGTGTACTTTAAATGCCGAGAGCTTGCAGGGATGTCACCCAGTGGCCCTCTGTGACTGCAGGGAGAAGAGGGCATGCGCCCCCCAGGTCAGGGGAGTTCCAAGGGGAGCTTCCTGCAGTTTGGGTCTCTGGCCAAGTGCAACCTGTAGGCAAGGGGCCAGGCAGGACAGGGTCCTGACACGGGCAGACTGGGGCCAGGGCCCTGCTGAGACCTGGCCTGGGTGGAGTGAGCTTGTTCCTGCAGAGCTTTGGGTAACAGGACTCTGCAGTGTTCCTGCTGAAGGGAGCAATACCCTGGCCTCTGACTCCTGTGCACCCCATGGATCCTGAAAGCAGGGTTAGGTTGTTCAAGGGCCTCGATCAGCCTCGGCGAACTTCCTGGCTAGGTCTCAAGTTAGCGATCCTCTCGTGGGGAGCAGAAGCTCTTGAGTGAAAAGTGCTTCTGCTATGTAATGTTTTGAACAACCAACAATAAAAAATAAAAAAAAAAAAAAAAAAGAAAAGTGCTTCTGGCCCTGCCACTAAACTAGCCCCCCTGCAGGCAGGCTCGGGGAAAGCCCAGCAAGGTGAATGCAGAAAGCACCCTCCCACGCGGGGCTCAGTGTCTACCACTATGCTCCAACGAAAGGGACCAGGTCTCCCTGGAGAAGTGGCTGACCGTAGGGCTACACAGAAAACACAGAGGTGCTTAAAAACCCCCCAAAAGTGAAACATGCTAAAGGGACACAGTGGCCAGGCGCGGTGGCACACAGCTATAATCCCAGCTGCTCGGGAGGCTGAGGTAGGAGGATCGTGAGTTCAAAGCCAGCCTCAGCAACAGTGGGTGCTAAGAAAGTCAGTGAGACTCTGTATCTAAATAAAATAAAACATAGGGCTGGCGTGTGGCTCAGTGGTCGAGTGCCCCTGAGTTCTATCCCCAGTACCCCTCCCCCCTCAAAAAAAAAAAAAAGGGGGGCTGGGGATGTGGCTCAAGCGGTAGCACGCCCGCCTGGCACGCGTGCGGCCCAGGTTCGATCCTCAGCACCACGTACAAATAAAGATGTTGTGTCTGCCGAAAAAAACTAAAATAAATAAATAAATATTTAAAAAAGAAAAAAAAAAAGATCTTAACTTTAAAAAAAAAAAAAAAGGCATAGGGGCCACAGCCAGGCTATTCGACCACTAAGTACAATGGTACCAGACCATGACCCGATGTGGAGGTTAACGTCCACCTGCACATGCTGACCTAAAAACACACCTGGAGGGGTGAGTGGACAGACAAGGGACATTTCCCTGCAGAATTCCAAAGAACATGTGAAGATGATCCCTCTTGACCGGAGCTTACTGACCTGCTCCCCAGAAGGAAGGGAAGGAGGGAGGAACGGACAAAGGAGACACCTGGCTACCACCACCAGGGCCAGGCAGGCTGGCCACATTGCCACAGGCGAGCTGTGTGAGGACTGGCTGTGCGAGATAGGACCCACTGGTCTTCTTTCCAAACCCATGACCTAGTCTCACCTGGGGAAAACGGCACACCCCTGTGAGGCATGTTCACACGCCTGGCCAGTGTGCCCAAGATGGTCAAGGGGTGAGGTCATCTGTGACACCCAGAGCAGAGGAGCCCGTGGACAGGGGATGGACACCAGGGACCAGGAGTCTGGCCCTGGGAGCAAGCGCCGGTTTCCCAGTTGTGGCAGCCACGTCAGGTCACTGCAGGCCCTGGCTGGACGCAGGTCGCCCTGCACCATCCTGGCCACTGTCCTGGAGACCTGGAACTGCTCCAGAACGAGGCCCTAAGCAGGCGCGTGCCCACCTGGGGTGCAGGGCGGGCCCTCGGGGGAGCGCCCTCTTACCGTAGGCCTGCTGCTGCCCGGGGTAGCTCTGCTGGTTGGGGTACTGCTGCTGGGAGTAGGTCTGCGGCTGGGCGGTGCCCTGCTGGTACCCAGCCTGCTGCTGGCTGTACTGGGAGTTCCCTGCAGAGAGAAGGACATGCGCTCACTGCCGGTGGCCAGCAGTAGGCCCAGGCGGGCCGTCCACATGTTCAAAGTCTACATCTCCTCTTGACAAAGAGCGACATGGCTGGTGTGGCCACTGGCCAACGCCAATGCCCTGGGCTATGCTGGGCCCCACAAGACAGGCCGAGTCCTGAGAGGAACCAGGGCCTTGCAGACCTAACTGGAAGGCGCCCTGGACACAGCCGTGTGGATGAAGCCACGTGATGGAGCCATGCTTCTCCACGCCAAAGACGGAGGGGGCGGCCAGTGGCTTCTCATGGGACGTGCCCTGCTGACCCCCAGCCTCCGCCTTCAAGCCTCCAGAGCAATGGGTTCCTGTTGCTTTAGGTGGCCGGATGATGGTCCCTTGCCACTGAATGCCCGGGAGACTGGACGGCCCACGAGCACAGCACCAGCGGCAGCTGGAAGCGAGAAGGACACCACAGCACTGACCAAAGGCACCTTGGCTGTGAAGGCCCCTGGCAAGGCGAGCGGGCAGAGAACCACGTCTGGAAGGCCCAGGAAATGGCGCAGGGAGGCCAGCAGAGCCCAGCGCAGCCGCCTGCAGACATGCACCTTCCCTCGTGTTTCAGACAGCGGGGCAGCCCAGGTACTGAGAAATGGCTACCAAGCCAGGGATGCTCAAGTGGGTCACAAGAGAGCTCCAGCAGTCTCCTGGACCACCCTGTGCAGTGAGCACTGCTGTCGTCCCCACTCTGCAGGTGGCGAAATGGACGCAGCAGCCTCACTTGGAAGATGGGCATTCAGACCCACAGGCCCTCTCGTCCTGAGCCACTAGCCACAGCAGGGCCTCTGGGAGGGGCGGGGACACCTGCATCCTGTCTCCAGGCCACTGCCTTCTCCTAGGGACACGCAGTGTGATGCCCAGGGGGCTCATGGCAGAGGGTCGCCTGGACACGTCCCTCAGGTCAAGATGCAGTCAGCTGAAGTTCACACCCCTACTGGGCCCAACGGGCTCCAGTGCTTTGAGGACATCAGGCTGAGGCCACAGCTGATCCTGGGGACCAAGTTCCTACTTCCACTCAGTGCATGCGGGCAGAAGCTTCCCACAGGCTGCCGTCGCCAGCAGGTGGGCAGAAGGCAAGAGGGCTCCGGCTCTCACTTCTTCTTCCTTCGGAGAAAACACTTGTGCTTGTTTCCAAAATCTGATTCCTGGCTGTGCCCACGCCAAGGCCTTTTCATTTCAGAGACATTGAGTAGTGAAGTGGCACACGTGTGCAGACAGCCTCGCCAAGCTCAGAGGGCACTGACGAGCTGCAGTCTCCCCATGTCTTCCTGGGGGGTCTGAAGTGCCCACTGCAGGGCCAGCAGGTCAGAGTCGGCTCCAGGCAGGGATGCCTCCCCCAGGAGGTGTCTAGACCACGTCCTGCCTCCTGCTTTCAAGCAGGCTGCTGTCTGCAAAACCCGACAAAGCGCACACGGTTCATTTGTGTGGGACCACATCTGCGTGGCCCAATTCCAGGCCCAGGAGGGGACTGAGGCTGGGGCAGGGACTGGGAGACAGGTGCACTTCTGGGACCCAGAACATGCCCAAAAGGAATGGCTGTTCTTATGAAAATGTGCCCTGGAAATACAGGGTGGCACCCAGGGGCTGAGGGTGAGACCCGAGGAGCCTGTGCTCCTGCGACTGGTCTGGCTGTGGGTGACAACCTTTCTAGGACCTGCAAAAGTTAAGTCCTTTGAAACTGAGTCCTAGTAACAGACTTCTAGAAAGCCATCTGCGTGCGTCCCACGGTCCGCCCGCCCAGCTTGAGCTCTTAACCCAGGCTCCTCCTCAACACCGAGCTGGCTCCAGCAAGCCCAGGGCAGGCGAGGCAACTCCAGGGAGCCAGAGGACTCGGTCAGTCCAGCACTTCAGGATCCACCAGAGCCTCAGCAGGCTCCTCAGGGGCCTCGGGGTTTGGCCAGCTGCAGTGTTCTTGTATTTCCTGGCCCCATTTTTACTCTTTATGAGATGACAGGTAAAGCAGCTTTTCCTGGGGTGCCTGCTCTCGTGCACCTGGAAAACCTCCAGGGATCTGGGAGGAGCAAGCACAAATGTCAGGTGTCTGACAGCAGGCCACGGATGGGGCCTCAGCAGAGCTGGACAGCCCCGGCCCGGTCTCCGCGCCACCAGGCATACACACGCACACCCACGCTCCACCTCTCTGCTCCCAGCTCTCTGTCTAGGAATCTGCAGCCTCCTGTGATGTGGTCATGAGGGATAAAGGGCAGCACTACGTACAGTGGAAGGAGAGGCCAGCCCTGACCAGTATACACACTCAGCTTACTAACACATGGTCAGGGCGTGGCGGCACGAACAAGGGACAAGGGACATATTAACAAGTTCTGGAAGCAGAAATGCAGCATGGGGTGCGCTCTGCTGCTGCTGGGATGCTGCCAGTCTGAACCCCCACTCCTAGGGGACATGTCAGTCACACTTGGCAGGCTCCTGAGCAACACCCAAGAGGACACACCAGGGGCTCTTGGGATTCCAGGAAGCGCAGATGGTGTGGATGACCGCACAGCCAGGGTCCTCCTGTCCTGGTTGACAGCCAACATTTGACACTTCCAACTCTAACCTCTAAATAAGCAAATTCACTCTCATGATTGAGAAACGTAAAACCAAACAGGGGCCCACCTCGGAGAGGGACAGAGGGCACTCCACTCCTGCCGCGCTGCCCGCCCCCGCTAACTGTTCTCACTGGTGTCTCGGAGCCTTTCCCGGCTGCCTGGGGTGTGCTGTGGCAGCATGGCTGAGCACAGTCCCGTCCTCCCTCTTGTCTGCTCTGTGCTTGGCCTCTGCAGTTCATAGGAAGCACCTCTTCCAGGGTCGTGCCTAGGGCCACTCAGGAGGGACTCGCTCTGTGCGGGCTGTGCTGCCGCAAGCTCACCACAGTGCCAAGCCCACTGTACCCGAACCCCTCCGGTCAGCACTCTATGGTGTCACACTCCTACCCAGCTCACTCAGCTCACCCCAGGCCTCCTGCCTCTGGTCCTTGGTGGTCAGTGCCTATGACCCACAAGGTTCCTGTGGAAGTTCTTTATGTTGGCCTCTGACTTCCAGGGGCCGCTCTGCACCCGAAGGAGGCAAGATCTATACCCCAGTCCTCAAAACAGCACTCCACTTCTCACCCCACCCAGGACCTCACAATGCACCGCCGTGGGGCGAGACAGACCACAGTCCCTTTGCACATGTTCCTCATGCTGCAGTCTAATGAGAAGAACGGAACACAGCTCTTCTCAATCCAGGAGAGAGCCAAGCCATCTGCCACTATGCTGGCATTATATACCACTTTTGTCAATTACACCTTAATAAAGCTGGGAGGAAAACTGGAAATATAAAATAATAATAATAATACAATAATAAAAAAAAAAAAAGAAAAACACAGTGGCACAGTGATGCACACCTGTAATCCCAATGACCTGGGAGGCTGAGGCAAGAGTATCTCAAGTTCAAGGCCAGCCTGGGAAACTTAGCAAGACTGCCTCAAAATAAAAAATAAAAGACTGGGGAGTGGCTCAATGGTAGAGCACCCCTAGGTTCAATCCCCAGTACTGCTAAAAAACAAACAAACAAAAAACCCAAGTATGTATCTTTACGGTGCACAACAAGAGGTATGAGGTGGGTATACATGTGAGTGGTTTCTTCACAGCAGGTTGGGACCTATTAGCTCACTGGCTCGACAGCAGAACATCTATAGATCCAATTCTCGGAAAAATAGCCCCAACAAGTGCATGCAGCCCCGTGGGCCTGCCTGCTTCCAGACAGCTGTTTCTATGGAAAGATGGGGCTGTGAAGAAGGTCCCCAGCTGCGGCACCCACATGCAGCCTCTCCCAGACCAGCGCTGGCCCGCCATCCTTTCTAGATGGGGCTCCTCCGGGAGGGACGTCCCTCATGCAGACTCACTCTGTGCTGCCCGACAGAGCCAGGTCCTCCCACGTCTGATGGTCCTGCCTTTTCTCCATCAGCCCCTAAGGCCCTCAGACCCATTCATGCTGGCCACAGACACCAGCCCACAGAAAACTGCCCAGCAGCTCAAAGCCGGCCCTCTGCCCAGGGCCCTATGCAGGACGAGTCCTGAGAAGCTCCCAGGAGGTGGGGCATGTCTGCTGGTGTCTATTCTGAGCAGTGAGAAGCCATGTGTGGCCACAGCCAGGGGTCTGTCCTCCCACCTCCAAGGCTGGATCTCAGCAGGGTCCACTCTGGTGAGCACAAACTGGGCTCTAGGGAGCAGCACAGAACCTGCCTATGTCCCGATGGATGACAAGCTACGTGACAATCCCACCCGTTCTGATGCAGGGCCAAGTCTGGCGTGAACTGCTTGTGCGGCTGCAAGGACCACCGAGGTGCCGGCGTGCAACTGTCCCAGCAGACCCTGAGGCGCCACCCTCTGGGTCTGTGTTCCTCTGCAGCTTCCTAACCCCGCAGCCTGGACGGTCCGTCCTGGGAACCTGCCTCAGCACCAGGTGGGGCCAGCAGGCCAGTGTCTGCAGGCGGAAAGCCTGGGGGCCAGACCCACCCCTCAGGACAAGCGGGGTGGGCTCGGTGGTGCAAGAAGGTGGAGCAGCCCAGGACGCTCACTGGGTCCTGGCAGGTGGCCTGCCACCAGCCTTCTGGAGGACTTTCCCTGTTTTCAAATCTTCTAAAATATTTTGCCACGTGTAACTAAAAACCAGAATTGCTTTGTGGAGAGCAGTGTGCGGGTTCCTGGAGAAGCCAGGCACAACTGCCACGTGACCCACGTGCAGCCTGCCACCTTCACCGCAGCACCATCAATGACAGCCAAAGCACAGGCCAAGTGTCGGGAACAGAGGAGGGCAGAGGAAGCACACCGCGGGCCTTCAGAAAGGGCCACCTGGCCCCGCTACAACAAAGAAGCTGAGGACACCAGTGGGGTGTGGCGAGCTGGTCACGGGAGGCCCCAGGCAGTGCACACCACGGAGGCCGAGGCAGGAGGGTGGGTCAGGGGACTTGAGGGGGCAGGGCTGGCGTTCAGTGGGGACAGTCTTGGTGTCAGGTGTGGGGAGTCCTGTGTGTGTGGGCGGCATGGTGCTGCATGCCACTATGAATGTGCGCAGGCCACTGGGCAGGCTGTCTGAACAGGGCTGCATGGTAAGTGTCGTTTGTGGCATATTCACCCACAAATGCACGTAAGGAACGCACCTGAGCGTGGCCTAGGCAAGCCACCTGTTTCTTGCTCTCCCTCACCCGGCCCGTCACAGCCCTGCCGTTCCCACCACCAACGTCTGGACCAGGAAGCCTGGAACTGGGCAGCAGAGGCCCCGCAGGCCTGTGAGCTGAGGGCACTCCGGGGCTGCGCTCACCCGCAGGGGATCTGACTGCGCAGCTCTCTCCCCAAGGCACCTTCAGCGACGTGCCACTGGTGGCGAGGGTGGGCACATTCAAACCATGAAGTGGGAAGGCCAGGGCTGTCTGCCTGAGAGCAAGCTCCCATCACCCGCCACCCCACGGCGCTCTGGGCAGGGCTGCAAGCACCTGGCCCAAGACGTGTCTGACCCGGTCAGCAGGGCTCTGGAGAAATGCTGGGCCAGACCTGACCATGCCACCCCACCCCACACACTCCCGGCCTGGCTCATGAGGGCTTTAGGTGCCTCAGTCCCTGCTGGGTGGCTCTGATTGAGGAGGCTGAGAGCAGCTCCCAGGCCACACACTGGACAGCTGGACCGCACGGCAGGTTTGTCCCCCGCACCCCCAGTGTCCAGCCGAGGCTCTCCCATATCCCCACACACCAGGCAGGCAGGACCCGGCACCTGGCGGAACACCCGCATCTTCTAGGAGAAGGTTCTCGCAGCTCTGTGCCACCGCGTGTCTGGGTCCAGGGCGGCCCTGGGCAGCACTGCTTGTTCTCAGGCGCGTGGCGTCCCCGCTCAGGGCTGCTTACCCCCCTCGTAGTAGTGCTGCGTGGACTCCTCGAAGGAGCGCTCGTAGCTCTGCTCCGAGTAGGACGACTGCTGGTAGGCATAGTCACTGTGGCCTGCAAGAGACGGGCATCGGCTGTGGGCAGGCCGCACGCTGCCTCTCGGTCCTGGGGGAGACGTGCGAGCCCAGGAAAGGACAGTCGGGCCAGGCCAGGGACATGGCAGAGCGGGTCAAGGGCCTGATTGCCCAGGTGGCCACACCCTGACCCCAGCAACTCCGGGGATGACAAGTTCAGGGCAGCCTCAGCAGTCAGGATAAGAGGGAGACGTGCTGGGACGTAGCTCCCGTACCAAAAATAAGCAAACAAAACGCAGGGGTCACTTCCCACACCCCGGGCTACTGAGAGGCCAGGTCCAGTCTGTCACAGCTGGCTCCGGGAGCACCAGCTGCTCTCCTCTGGCCCTGCTTGGCTCTTGGGGCTTCTGGGCAGGGTGCTGTGTGGCACCATGACTACGGGGACACAGCCTGCCCCATGGCTGGCCTCGGTGAGCATCTACACCCATTTCCCAGCAGGAGGGCACCTGCCTCACGCCCAGGCTAACTGGGCAGCCCACCCGGCCGTCCTCTAGGGAGCCCTGTCTTTGTCCTCCCAAACCTATGCATTTTTAAAGACTAGTTTAAATGCTACCTTCTCAAATCCTGGGATGATCTAAATGCACAATCAGAGGTGACAAGTAGCGGGTGCTGTGCAGGCCTGCCAGCCCACCCGAGGCCGTCTCAGGGTCCGTCTATGGCAGACAGGCCCTCCCAGCTCAGACTCCACGGCTGAGCCTGCGTCCTGCCCCCGCGTGCTCGGGCCTCACCCTCGGGGTAGTACTGCTGGCTCATGGGCTCCGAGGCGGCCTGGCTGTGGCCGTACGGCTCGCTGTAGTACTCCTCCTGGCCCAGGTACTGCTGCGCAGAGCCTGCAGGCAACACCACGCTCAGGACCCACACAGCGTGGGGCAGCTTTCCTTATAGCCAGGACCCAGTTGGGCAGCAGGGCCCACCACAAAGAACTCACCCGGGGCCAGGACCGCAGCCACCAGGCCTCCCCTCCTCCCGCCCCAGCAAGGCTCTGGGTCTGGCATCTGCAACCACCACCAGCTGCCCCTCCCTCGGGTCCCTTGCCCAGAGGACCACAGCCCCACACCAGGTCACCTCCAGAACACGTACACCCTCAGCAGGCCCAGTGTCCTCGCTCATGCACAGGTGGGGAAACGCGGGAGCAGGGGTCCTGGGTGCATGCTCCCCTGAGGGCCTCACCTTGCTGGGAGGGCCGGTAGGGCGCCATGGGCCGCTGCCCCATCATGCTGCTGCCCTGGCCGCCCTGGCCCATCATGGCCATGGACGACTGGCCCTGGTAGTGTTGGCTCCCGCCCTGCGCAGAGCTGTAGTGGGATGTGGCCGCCTGCTGGTGCATCATGGAGACTGTTTGACAGAGACCCCGAGTTACCTGGGAAGCGCAGGCCAGCCCCTGACCTCCCACCCCCATGTCACCTGGACCCCAAGGCATGTCTCCCAGCGCAGGGTCAGGGCCCAGGGCTGGGTGCTGGTCTACACGTGCCTCTGGGCAGGAGGACGGGGCTCCCACGGCAACACACCATGGCCCCGCAGCTCTCAGCAAACCCTAGCCCAAGCAGTCCCGACCTTCCCTGTCCCTGGGCAGGTCCTGAGTCACACTGTCCCCTGAGCACCCCGACTGACCCGCCTGTTGGCCTGTCACACTCGTCCTGCTCAGAGGTGCGGGGCAGCTCCAGAGAGACAGGCAGGAGCCACCGTTTTAAGGTTTCTAGCAACCACGTTGGAGAAGAAAGGGGGGTCTGTCCTGATACGTTTTGTTGGAGTCAATACTTCCAAGTTACATTTTAGCATGTGATTAACAAACTTGGGAGGCATTTCACGTCCTGTTCTGTAATAAGCTCTAAAGACTAGCGTTTGTAACTCAGGGAACATCCTGCTTCGGGAGCCACTCCACCGAGCCCATGGGGCTCCCAGACCCAGGCCATGCTGCCCCCCACCAGGGCCTCCCGAGAAGCAGCCCGGAGTCACCATCACTGCATGCCACTGGCTTGGCCCTGTGGAGACCTGGGGGAGGCGGCCAGCCCTGCTGATCCTCTCCTTCCCTGTGCCCAGTACATGGGTGAGCCCGGGACCCACAGGCACGGCCCGCGGTGAGTACCTGGGTTGGACTGCATGTTGATGTTGGTCCGAGACACGTAGTTGCTGATGGCGCCCTGGCCCTGCATGGGGACGCTCTGAGAGGCAGGTCCCGAGTGGCTGTAACCAGGTCCCGAGCCGTGGCCACTACCAGACATGCTCATGGAAGTTGTGGGCAGGGTGCTCTGCACCGTCTGCTGCATGGACACGTGACTGGGACCTGTGGAGGGTGGGCATCAGGGGCGGGGCCAGTGAGCACCTCCGTCTCCTCTGGGCAGCTCTGGGGAGGGAGGCGACTAACCCAGGTCAGCCCCAGGTCAAGCAAGTGCACACGTGACGAGCGGGTCCCTCTCCAGGCAGCCGGGCTCCACTCCCACTGGGTGCCCACTGGAACCGCACTCTGCATTCGAAGTGGGCATCGTGTGACCATGTGCGCATGGTGGGGTCTGGAGCTCTGCTCCCTGGGCACGGTGACTCCAGGACGCGGAAGCCAGGGACACCGAGCCCAGCCCTGCAGGCTGGGGGGGCCCCACCGTGGCAGCTGGCCCTGTGGCTGTCTCAGGGACCGTGGTACTGGGAATGTCCCCTGCAAACCTGCTCACCATTGCCGATCTGGCCCTGCATGAGGGAGGCCGGGGGCAGGCCTGTGCTGATGGCGTCGCTGAGGCTGCCTTGGGGGTGCAGGCCCTGGCTGGAACCGCTCTGGCTCAGTGCTCCGGGGCCCAGGTTCATGTTCTGGGTGGGCGGCTGCAGTGACAGAAGGTTGGGAGGATGGCTAACTAAGAGCCACCCACAGCCACCTGGGATTTGGTGGCGCACAGAATTCTCACTGCATCCATGGCCATCTGTTCAATGTCGGAGACCTACAGCCACTGTCACGCTCTGCAGCACAGTGGGGGTGACTAGGCCCCAACATCTCAGGCCTAGCGGAGACAACACAGTGTAAACAAGAGCCCAGCCTGTCCACACACACTTGGGTGTTCAAAAACTGGTCCCCTTGCTGGGACGACAGGGAACCCCTTTGCTGGCCCCCCATATCCTTCTCGGGATCGGCTGACAAGCACCTCAGTGTCCACAGCCCCCACCATTTTGCACTCCAGGGCCTTGGCACAAGCTGGCTCACTGATGTTCCCTGCACTCCTTCTACCTGTGCCCCCTCCTCTCTCATTCTTTATTCCCCCAAGCCCACCTCTGATCACAGTACGCAGCAGGGAGGCGGGATGTACGGGAGACAGGAGACCCCCTGGACCGTCACTCCCACATCTAGATCAACCTACGGCCCCAAATGTTGGCCCCAAGCAGAAGCCTCCAGCAGGCTCTGCTGGCACCTACCGGGAGAGGGGACCCGACAGGCCAACATTACGGACTTACAAAACATGCCTTAACAGTTCCAATGTCACCACTTTCCAGGGGAACCAGGGCACTGGTAAGTGAGCCGTTCTGGGGCCATGGCACCCATCAACGCGAGGCTGCTACTTCCCTGGCTGCACTTTCCCAACATGGAAGAGGCCAAAGCGATCGCACCTCACAGTGAAAATTCAATTTAGGGAAAACGTTTCTAAAACCAAATCAGTCCAGGCACAGTGGCCCACGCCTGTAATCCTAGCAACTCAGGAGGCTGAGGCAGGAGGATCACAAGTTTGAGGCCAGCCTCAAGAATACAGCAAGGCCCCATCTCAAAATAAAAAATAAAAACGTGGCTCAGTGTAGAGGACCCCTGTGTTCGATGCCTTGGACAAACACAACTCCCTCAAAAAAGCCAAACACTGAGACTGTCATCTAGAGTATTTGTGGCACTGGGGGTTTTCCTGGTTAAGCTCCGCTTCCAGTCACAGCACGTGCACAGCTCCTGATGGCTGACGCTGGACAGAGGAGTCACACTGTGCAAGGCCGAGTCAGAGCCCTGGCCCCAAAAGACAAGGAAGGGCCCAGCAGGCCCAGAGGGACCCCACTCCAGTGCTCAGACACTGGCCGCCCACCCTCCCAGGTTGCCTGTTGGGGGTCGAGTCACCCTCCCCAACGGGAGGGACCTGTCCACCGCCGACAGGTTTACCACCAGTGTGACAGAAAGGTTCACACCACAGCCCCAGGCCCCAACGCCTGCCTCCCCAAGATGTGGTCCCTCAGGTCACCTTCCTACTGGAGGTGACACGCTGGGAACCTGGACCTAGGCAGTGTGTGGCTCCTGGCGGTAAGTGGGGAGCCCTGGCCCCCGTGCCTGGCACTCACGGCGGGCAGCAGCGACTGCATGTTCTGGTTGGAGTCGGCTATGGTGGCCAGGTAGACCAGGTTCCGGTGCAGGATCTGCTGGTACCTGTGGGAGGGGACACGCGAGTGAGGCAGAAGCAGGTTTAACCAGGAGCTGGGACCTCTAGCTAAACCCTGTCAGGACACCAGGCACAGGCCCCACGGCCTGGTCAAAAACAGACAGGCGGCGCGCTGGGGGTCCAGCAGGGGCAGGCAGGAAGTGGACCCAGCCCAGCGCTGAGCAGGCTCCCGCCCCAGGAGGAAGCGGTGCTCGGTCTCTTCAGAGAGTGCAGGTGGGGGACTGGCTCAAGGAGGCAGAGGCCACAGGGGACAGAGCAGGCAGTGGCCCAGCGTTGGGCTAACTCCACCGCCAGCTGCCCGAGCACCCCAGAGGACACAGGAGTGACAGGGATCCCAAGCTCTCCCACGTCACACCCGGGGGTCCCAACCCCATACACTCATCACACTTGGGGGACTCGAGCCCCCCCACTGAGCCTGGTAACCCACAGGCATACTCTGCGGGAGGTGCCAGGTCATGGAAGGCAAGGGCAGCCCTGGTGTGTCCACAGCTATGTAGGCCCGGGCTCCCTGACGCCCCCCCGCCCCCCCGCCCACTCACTGGGTGCACTCCGCCGTCTTGCCCTTGCTCTGGTAGTCCAGGATGCACTGGATCAGGTGGTGGTTCTCGTCCAGCATCTGCAGCAGACGTGGGTGTGAACGGGGCCTGGGCACCAAGGCTTCCTCGGAGCAACCACAGGGCATCCGCCCAGCAAGCCTAGCGAGTTCACCACAGGGTGCAGGACCCCGGGGGTGCCTCGGAGCCCCACCTGCAGGGCGCGACAGGTGCTCAAAGCACAGCAGACCCCAACAGGCGTACCACCCGTGTGACTGGAAGGCTCACACCACCAGCCCCAGGCCCTGACCCCTGCCTGAGGTAGCACACAGGGTCCTGCCCTGGGGACAGGAGGAACCGCAGGCACACGGCCTGGGGCAGGAGGCTCGGGCAGGACGAAGGAGCTGAATAGGACACGCACCTGTGGCCACTGACCCTCAGCCCCACCCCTCGGGTCTCCAACACCCGAGTGCCAAATGAGCTGTGGTGGGACAGACGGGCCTGCCCACGCAGGGAACCCCGTCGGCCTCGCACAGCGTAGGTGTGTGACGTGCACCGACTCAGGAGCTGAAACCCAGGCTGAGACCAAGGCCACTGAAAGGCAGGCGTGGGCACCCCAGAGCTGGGCAGGGCTCTCAGCGAGGGTGCACAGGGCCAAGGTCAGGAAGGCCAGGCCTGCTCCCCAGGCACGCTCCACACAGCAACATCAGTATTGCAGGGACTGGTCAGAAACAGGTTCTCGAGCCTGTCCCTGCCCAGGTGGTGTGCCCAGAGGCCTCTGAGAAGCACTGGGTTGGGCTCACGGACCCCTTCCAAGGCTTCCTACACCCGGAAGTCCCAGGACCTCACCCACGGACCCTCCAGCACTGGGCTGCCTCACTGTCCTGGTGTGTGCCTATCCAGCAGAGAGGACGAGGTAGCGGGGACAGGAGGCTGGGTATGAAGGTGTCTGTGGGCAGCGGGGAACCATGTGGGCATGGAGGTCACATGAGAGCCCCTATTCCCAGGTGGCTACTTGGGGGCAGCACAAGGATGGCTAGGGAGGCCCAGGGGGTGGCCATGGCGGGTGGGACAAAGAGGAAGGGAGCTGTGGGAACCACGGCACACTGCCACATGAGCCATTCCCTACCTGGAGGGACCATGCCCTCCACGGGACAGAGCACATGGCACCTGTGCCTCCTCATCCCCAGAGGCCTCTCCTCCTCTCCACTCTCAAGAAGTGGCCCATATCTGCGATCCCAGTGACTCAGGAGACGGAGGCGGGAGGATTGTGAGTTCAAGGCCAGCTTCATCACTTTGGCAAGACCCTGCCTCAAACCCTGAGCCTGATGTTTTCCGTCTCCACCAAACACACGGCCACCTCAGCCCCCCGTCGTCGTCAGCGGCCGACTCTGCAGCCCCTAGAGCAGGTGGAGCCCTAACAGCAAGGGGAAGAGGGGCCCAGTTGCCCACCGTCCCTCAGGGCTGCCTACCTTTTCCTCCGCCCTCCAATGCGGGTCCCTGAAGTCTGTCCTTGGGGTCTAGCTCCCGGAGCACTGGCAATGCCGCCTGGAGGGCAAGCACAGCCTACAGTTCTGTAAGTTTCAACACCCTCCTCTCCACGATTTTTTTTTTTTGGTATCAGGAATTGAACCCAGGGCCTCTGCCCCTGAACTACATCCCCAGTCTCTTGCTAAGTTGCTTAGGGTCTAAGTTGCCCAGGCTGCCTTGAACTTGTGACCCTCCTGCCTGGCCTCCTACACCCCTGGAACCACAGGCCTGCCCCACCTCTGCCCCTCTACCTCCTGTAGCGTTACGCCCCACTGTGACAAGATGCCTAGCCCAGCTCAGTGGAGGAGCCGTCCTGAAACAGGGAACCACTAGGGGGCGCTGCCAGCCAGCAGCTGCCACAGAGCCCGCCTGTGTGCAGGTGAGGGCACTCCGGGTCCTTCTCCAGACTGATTAAAGAAAGAAGCACTGGGATTTCTTGTTTTGATCCCAGCATCCAACTCCGGGTTACTCACTCCCAGGCAGGATTCTCTCCAAGGACACTAATGGATGCTGCGAAGCCACCTGGGCCACCCACAGTAGCTCAAGTGGAGAAATGCTAGGTGGTCACTGTGAGGATTATGGTACAACCACAGGGTGGGACACTGCCCAGCCATGGAGATGCTTCACAGCTCGCTCTCACACAAGGAGATACTGGGCGGCTCTCGGGATGGTTTAGAAGCAGCACACAGCTCCCTTAAGTCAGAAATCCTTGTAGGAAAGGGGCAGGACGCAGGCTGAGGGCCAGAGTCTTGAAGATCTGCCCGCAGAGTAAGGGACAAGAGAAGAAGAAACGCAGAAGCCAGAACAGGGCACAATGAGCAGCTGGAGGGAGAACCCCAGAGCCAGGGTGCTGATCCAAGTGGGGTCTGACCCGCTGCACAGAGCCACATGGGCAAAGGCCAAGGAGGCTCAGGACCTACTCACCCCTGACCCCCAGAGCACTGGGTCCCTCTTGGCAGGAGACGTGTCCAGCCTGGGAGGAAAGATGCTGGACTCCTGAGAGCAGAGAGCACTTCCCAGCAGAGCCCCCAGCACACGCCTGGCTGGAGTGCAGTTGAGCCCCACCACACCTGCTCCCCCAGAAGGAATGAGGCCTATTTGGAGGCTGAGAGGCAGCAGCCTGCAGGAGTTGGAAGCCATGGCTAATGCTTGGGAGACCAGGACCACAATGTCCGGCAAACGATGGATAAAGAGCAGTCATCACCAGGAGAGGGAATGGAAACCTGTTTAAAACAGCACCAAGGGTCAAAGAACTCCTGGGAATAAAAAACCATTCAAGGGGCTGGGCTGGGGCTCAGTGGTAGAGCGCCCGCCTCGCGTGTGTGAGGCCCTGGGTCCGATCCTCAGCAGCACATAGAAATAAATCAAGGTATTGTGTCCAACTACGACTAAAACAGACAAACAAAAAGTCCAGGTGTCTTATGAGTTGAAGGACCCTTAGGAAAGAAACAAGACTAATGGAAAAGCGATGCGATGACAGGGACGGTGGGGCTCCTGAGAGGGACAACCCAACTGGAGACTGCAGAGGGGTAGAGACCTGAGGGGGAGACTTCTGGCAGGGCGATGGCATTGCAGAGGAGACCCAGGAGGGTGATGCCCTCGCAGAGGAGGCTCCAGGAGGGCAGTGAACCCCCAGAGGACAACCCTGTGGGCGTGATGACCCAGCCTGAGGTGCCTATTGGAGGGCTGATGACCTGGCCCTGACAGAGGGTTCCACAGAGTCACCGATCTAACTGAGGGACTCCAGAGGGGTGATGGAGGAGCATGACCTAACGGACAAGAATTTCCAAGGCAGGATCATGGAACCCTGGGGAGGAGACCCAGCCCGGGGGACTTCTGTAAGAGCACCGCAGACCACTGAAGGAACCCGACACCGTCAACATTTACCCACAGCAGAGACGGGAATTAGGCGTGAGAGTTCCAAACAGCTCACACTTACACACCCAGGGTCCACAGCAGTGCCTCCTGCCTGTGGCCTATCACAAGGAACGGAGTCCGCAGCTCCCTTGCCAAGTGCCACTGCTGCATTCTGGCCCCTCCTCTACGCATCCAGGGCTCGGTGAAAAGGGTGAAGGCAGTCAACGATGACACTTTAGCCACAAACACAGCTCACTAGGTCACTTTGGATTCATTTTCAAAATGAGGAAACCCAGGCCTAGAAAGCCCATGTGTGGATGGTCTCAGTGCAACAGGAAAGTGAACCCAGGACGCTGGCCTGCCCACCCTCCTCAGTTCCACCTGTGTCCATATCCGGGCCTGCTTTGCAGAAGCCTTCCTTCCACCTGTGGGACAGCAGGCTTTCCAACCCTCTGCCTTCTCTTCCCTTCACGTCACAGATCAGGCACCAAAGCCCAGAGTCCCCATTTAAAAAAAATTTTTTTTTTTTTCAATTATTTAGAGACAGGGTCTTGCTGAGTTGCTTAGGGGCTTGCTAAGTTGCTGAGACTGGCTTTGAACTGGCAAACCTCCTGCTTCAGCCTCCTGAGCTGCTGGGATTATAGGTGTGCACCACTATGCCCAGCACACCTCACCATGTTAATGGCAGGCTCAAGTGCCCAGGCCACTCACAGTGTGGGGGCAGCTCTCTTCACAGAGGAAGACATACCTTTTCAACTGGATCACCTGTGTTCTCTGTGATAGCAGTTCCAGGTCCGAGGACAGCACAGAAGACCAACTGCTGACCCAGCTCCCAAGCCCTCTCCCATCATCATCCAAACCTAGGCACACATCCCTACCCAGATTGTCATCTCTCACCTATGTCCCTTATATCCCACACCTGGGCACAGGTACACTGGGGCAGGGCTGTTCTGATTTCCACCACTTCCTGGCTGGGAAAATCTGTTGCCTGAAGAATCTGAGATGCCTAAATGGGGACTGGAGTGTGAAGTACAAATTTCTGAATAAATATTGAAGCCGGAAACAGACTGTTAAGTTCCAGAAGGCCATGGCTCCAGGAGACCTGTGGGATGCTGATGTGTGCTTCCAAGTCTGGGGTCCACCCTCCCGCCAGGCAAAAGTCCTGGCCAGATGCCACAGCAACAGCAGCCCCCTGCAGCCCCTGAGTCTTCGTATGTCTCAATTTGCTCCACTATAAAATGGGGACGATAATGACTTCCATGAAGAATTAAATTAATTAAGATATGTAAAGATCTTCCAACAGTGCCTAGAATGCAATGGCGCTACAGCAGTGCTTGCTAATAAAAAAGCCATGCTTGCAAGCCTGCATTTCGGCTCTTGGCAAACGTTTTCTCCTCTGCTTGGAGCGGGCCAGGCTCCCCACTTGTTAACCACTACATTTCTAAAGACAGCAACAGCAAGGGCACTTCCGCCAAGAGAGCAGGGCAGCAAGGCGAGCGCACCGGGGCCGAAGAGGCTTACAGGAACCCAGGAATCCTGCTGTAGATGGAACCAGAGTCCAAAAGAGGAACCGACACAGCTACAGAAGACAAGCTCAGACAGGAATGCCTGAACACTCGTTTTCTTCTCCACATCTTCTAACGGCTTTTAGGGAAGTGGCCCCCGCCCGTAAGAAGGCTTTCTCTAGAAAGCTTTGGCCCCAACAGGCGAGAAGGCGGTAGGACAAATCTGTCGTTTCGGTTGGGCGAGGACGCTGAAAGCGGACTGACCGGGAAAGAGGGCGGGGACGCGCCGGCCCGCAAGTCTGCTGCGCGCTCTGCTCAGGGCTGCGGGCCGCGGGACCTGCACTCACACCTCCGATCCGTCCCTTTGTGCCTGGCGCTCTACACCTTACTAAAGCGGCTGCCTCGCCGTCGCCGCGCGCCCCTTCTCCACTCGCCAAGTTGCGCGCTATGGGCGGAGCGGCCGCCGGGCTTCGAGCAGAGCGCGTGGAGCCCCAGTCGGCCGAGACAGCTCCGGAGGCGCGCTCTGCGGACTCGGCAGCGCGCTCGGGGCCAGCACCCCGGCGGCCATCCGGCCCTGCCGCCCGGCGCCCCGGCCAAGGGAACGCGCGTCCCCGCAAAGTCAGCGCGGGCTCTCCGGGGAGCGCCCCCGTCGGCCCAAAGCTCCCAGGCGCGCCACTGCGGACAGCGGGGCGCCGGGCCGCCGTCGGGTCTCACGGCCACCCGGCTGCGCCCCGGCTTTGTTCGCGCCCCACGCCCAGCCCCGCGCCCGCCGCCCACACCCCGCAGACCTGCGCCGCCCACCTTTTGAATGGTTTGCTGCGTGACCTCTCCTTTGCCTCTCGGCCGCGCGGACGCGAAGGCCACGGACATGGTGGTGGCGCGGGCAGAGCCGGTGATCACCGGGGTCTATCCTCCTGCGGCGCCCGGCAGC